GTCCCTCCCCGTTACCTTTCCCTTCCCACCCCTCTTCCAGCCGAACACGTCGTCGACCTCGCTGGCCCCCTCGACCGCCGAGGGCAGGCCGGTTCCTCTCGACAACACCACGGCCGCTCACCGCATATCAGCCCTGCAGAAGCTGAACAGCACCTACCCGTCGTCGGTTCGCCGCCACCGCTACGCTAAGAGCACGGGTGCCCAGAGCAGCACTTACTCCCAGCCGGTTCTCGTCCGCACCTACACCGGCCCCCCGCCTTCGCAGTCATTGCAGGGCGCCCGCAACTCGCGCTACCGACCATCGAGTGGCAACCGCGGAAATTCGAGACGCGTCCCGCTGCCATCATCGTCGAGACAAAGCACTTCAAGCCTGTCCGGCAGACCTTCCCAGCCAGCCCTGAGCGGAACGGCCGCGGGGAACGACCATTCCTCCCGAGAGAGCGGCAGTCGTGTCGGTACGATGAACATGCCACGCCACAAGCACAAGAAACCCACCAGCAAGTTGCCGATCTCGCTGCCATTGCCATGGCAGTGGCAGTCGTCGTTTGGGCGGGAACAGGACGAGGCGCGTCTACCACCGCTGGAGGCCTTTTCCTTCAAGAGCTTCATGGCGGAGATGCAGGCCCGCGGCGGGGACGACGACATTGGAGCCGACCTCGATCGCATCGCCGAAATCTGTGCTCGTTCCCGTTACTCTTTGAGCAATCAGTATGAAGTCCACGTTGCCCCTCATGGGTCAGGCGAATCTTTTGCGACGGGCCCCGTCCCCGGAGGCAGGAGGAGGGCGCACACTCACATTGGGGGACCCACCCTGCAGGCCTTCAACTCCGAGGATGACGAGAGCGCCGCCGCCCGCTCCCACCGAAAACGCAGGAGCGGGGGCCGCAGGAAGAGTGTTGCATATGGGACACTGGAGACCATCATGTCTTCGAGCCGCTCCTCCGAAGAAGACCAGGCGAAGAAGAAGCCTGCTGCCGAAATTGCAAATGAGCTGCGAGGGAGAGCAGGAAAGAAGACTGGAGACAGTTCGACGGGGGCGGCAACAAAATCACACGACACGCCCCAAGACAGCACTTCCCCGGATCCACGACCCAAAGGGAACCTCCTGCGAAAGAAGTCTTCATCCTTCGCCACAGCCGTCATCGATAGCGGTCGCAGTGTTGGCAAGCCTGATGGCGCATCTTCCTTGATCAGCGAGCCGGCTCTGCCACATACATCAAACACGAATCTCAGTGTCAGGACAGCTCCGGATGGGCCTAACGGCGAAGGAAGTCCTCGCAACAGCCGATCCGGGTCACCAGAGCAACGGCAGGTGGAGGTACACCTCGCCGACGACCTTCCTCACGAAGAAGACCAGAAGGTCGGCAGCGGCGAACCCCGGGCTGCCTGGAGTGCCTGGATGCCCTGGAGAAGCCACCCGAAGAGTGACCCTCCACAGCTGATCAGCGGGCGAGACCCATCAAGCCATGCCGAAGGGAGTTTGAGGCAGCTTCTCAAGGGTGTCGATATAAACTCGGACAAGGGGAAGGCCATTGAGCGCGAAGGGTGACGGCGAGCCCCAGATGCAACCTGATGCTGTCACGATTGACTGAGCATGCTATGCAACGGCAATGAGTCGTTGGTACACGATTTATGTACGATGCCTGACGTGAGAACAGCTCGGTATCAAATGGTGGTTGTGGTTCTGTACGACTTGGTCGACATGTTTTCTCATGATTGCTAAAACGTTGACATGGACGTGGAAGGGGAGTACAACAGGAGAAGGGCAGTTATACCCCGTTGACGATATTTTTTTGATGTTTTACTTGGTGTGATGTTCATTTCTTCTAACGAAATGGTACCATATGGACCAGGAATACAGAACTGAGGCTTGAGACAGCAGGATTGAGCAACCTAAATAGTTTTCGATACCCCATATTTCCCTTGCTACTTGACTTAATCGACGGAATAAAAAGGACAACCTTTTTGGCTTTGAGCTAGTTTTTACCCTTCTTGTATGATTGAATTCGAGAGACGTCCTGTGTTTTTCCAAACATAACCTCTTGAAACTCGACCAGACATCATGCCTGAATCATCCCCCTCTTCCTGGCATAAACGTCCAAGTCAGAGTCTCTGAATGGTCGTCCCTGGGGTGCCACGTGAGGGCGCGTCAGCAACCCTAACCCACCAACAAAGACACCCCCCACCAACCGCCCACTCCAAGGTCGGTCGCGTCTCGCGTCCTTCACCATCTCCGTCACCCGCACTCCATTACCACGAATATCACCACCCAGCATATTCTACACCTAAAACCCAGCATCATAAACACCAAAACCCCTACCCACCACGGATCCCAAATTCCACACCCCCCCCACCATGGCGGACCGCTTCCGCCACCACCACGGCGGCGGCGGCGGCGGCGGCCGACCACCCCCGCCCCCCCCCTCCCGCACCGTCCACCACCCCCCTCCCCCTCCCCCTCCCAGCAGCACCACCGTCCGCCGCAACCTCTTCCAATCCCAACTCACCCGACGCCCGACCGCCGCCGCGCCCGTCATCGACCCCGACCCCGACAACAACATCTCCGACGACGCCTCCTCGTCATCAGTCGCCTCGGCGGCCGAGACGCTGCGCCTGGACGACCCGCGCGCCGCGCACGCGCTGCTGTTCCCCTCGGGCAACGAGTACGGGATGCGGTCGCCTTCGGACGTGCGCCGCCCCGACGGCGGGCTGGGGTTCCCGGACGAGGACATTGTCATCCGCGATAAGAACGGCGAGGTGGAGCTCTCCGGGGACCCGGCGTCGCCTGACGTTGGTGGGGGTGGTGGGGGTGATGGGGGCGGGGGCGGGGAGGATGTGGATGAGGAGGAGGCGGCGGCGGCGGCGGAGGCGGCGGCGGCGGTGGAGGCGGAGAGGGAGAGGCAGAGGTTGGCCGAGGCGGTGAGGCAGCATCAGGTGGATCAGAATAGTGTGCCGGTGCAACCTGAAGGTGGGTTTTCTTTTGGTCACTTGTGTGAGGCTGGTGGCTGACGATTGATTGCAGAACTGCTCGAGGCTGTCCGGGCTAGTCTCAAGGCCAAGGTGGCGGCGCTGGCGGAGGATAACTGGATGTTTGAGAGGGAGGACATGCCGCGGCATCGGTAAAGGGGCTGGGTTACTAGGTACGGTACTGGCATTATTTGGTTGTTGGTGCTTTCTCGCCTGCTCGTCGGGAGAAGAAGGGGGCGCAACTACGCTACGAATATGCATGCTAATCCTCAGTCCAGACCCTCCGCCGCCGGGGCTTCTACCCTCCTCGGCGCTGGCCTTCCGCCACCACCACCACCACCACCTCCTCCCAGACCTCCTCCGCCGAATAGGCTCCCCATCATGTCCATCAGCGGGTTGTTCTGCCTCGGCCGTTGAATACCAAAATACATCTCGGCAATCATCTCCAGCGCCGTGTCCCACGCGCCCCCGAGCTCGGCAATGTGCGGGAGGTACTTGGCTCTCAGTTGCCGAAACAGATCCGGCGTGCCCTTTTGCACCGCCAGGAGCAGGAGCCCCAGGAAGTTGAGCAGCGGCAGGCTAGGAAAGACGCGGACGTCGGAGCTCTGGGAGCTGACGTCCTGGACGCCGAGGCCCTTGTTCCCCTCGCTCAGCGTGCTGACGAAGGCCCGGTACGAGGCGTTGGCGGCGCGGACGTTGGCCACGAGCAGGTACGGCAGCACGGCGCGCGCGGCGTACAGCGGCGCCGTGTGCGACTCGTCCTGCTGGTACCACTCGTACTCGAGGCGCGCCAGCACCTCGGGCGAGTCCTTGGTGCCCAGCACCAGGTGGCGCTCGGCGTCCTCGGCGTCGTGCTCCTCGGCGAGGAGGGAGCCCACGACGTGGTGCAGCTCGGGGTCGCCCGCGGGGTAGTCGCCGCACTTTTTAGACCAGCTGTAGAACACACACAAGATAGTCAGTGTCAACCTCCTAGCTCCTCCTGCATGTAGGGATCATACTCAATCATGACCTTGATAAACTTCTTGCGCGTCGGCTCCTCGCTGTCAAACAGGCGCAGGCACGTCAGCAGGCGGCCCTTGGCCGCCGCGTCGGGCCGCTGCGCCGCCTGCCGGTACACGTCGACCAGCAGGATGGCCAGGTCGCCGCCGCTGCCGCCCTGGCCGGCGCGGAGCAGCGCCTGCGACACGCTCGAGAGGATGTCGACGGCCGCGCCCCAGTTCTCCGCCTTGGTGTAGCGCGCCGCCACCAGCCGCGTCTCCTGCTGCGCCTCGTACTGCTCCTCGGGCTGGCCCTCGGCGATGCGCTTCTGCAGCCGCGCGATGATGCGGTCGATTTTGGACATGGCGTCGGTTTCGGTCGGCGAGGGGGGGAGGGGGGGAGGGGCCGAGGCCGGGTGGAGGGAGGATGAGCGGTGTTGTGTATCGAGAGTGGGGGTCGTTGTCTGGACAGGTGTGGTTGACGACTGTGTGGTTGACTATGTGGTTGACTTTCTCGTGGTCTGGATTCCGAGGTGGGCTGGGCGTTGATGTCACAATCGGCTGCTTGGGCCGTGTCACCAACAAGGTGAGGAAGCTTGAAGTTGTCAAGGAAGGTTGCCCCGCATTGCTTCACCCCACCTCCAGGTATCGCTGTACCTACCCCTGCGCGGCCCTGCGCTGAGACATGACATGGGAGCTTCCACGGTCCACTTTTATTGCAAGCTCTCGTTTTCTGACCTCCAAGTCAAAGCAGCAAGAGCGACGCATCCCGGGGGAGATAAATTCCCGAAAAATAACTATAGAAGACAAGCCATCCTCTGTTTGTTCTTCCCACCACCCATCACCGGCACGGAACCTCTCTCCCCCCCTCCAACCCCGTCCCACCCCGACCAAGGCTCCTCCCTCCCCGCTGCGTCTCCAGCAGTGTCACCACAACCACCAATCACCACGCATCCACCTCACGAGGAAAGAACGACCGAGAGGGCACCCACAGCAGCATGTTTCCTCCCCATAACACCCGCAACGGAGCAATCCCCTCCCAAGCAACAAAGTAAAGCGACGTTGGTGAAATGGTATCATCTATGCTTCCCAACCTTTCGAGGAACGGAAATCGCATAGGGTTCGGGTTCGATTCCCGAACGTCGCATTCACAATTGTTTATTGTTACCCCTTTAATTTTTGGCCTCCTTTTTTTTTCTTTTCGCGCCAGTACTCTTGGCGGCAGCAGCATGACAACTCCCTCGTCCGGATTGGCGTAGCCTCTCGGAACCTGCGGTTCTGGAATCAATCATCGACATCACACACACTCCCATACAAACAAAAGTTGGCAACAGCAATGTAGAGCAATGCATACTGCTATGTATAGCTATGGCTTTCCTTCTCTGCCATATTGTTTCTCGCTGATCAATAGCATGCAACGACAAAGCCATGCAACAGCCATCTCCGTATCTAGGCGTGCGAGGCGCTGGTCCCCTTGGGTTATTTATGCTTATTTCCACCCCCCGTCCCCGCCCGCGGCTCTCACAATATGCGTCTTTGCAAACCAGCGCATGTTGCCCCCTTGGCCATCTGTTCCCAGCTCGCCCTCGCGGGATCGACCAACCGTCTCCCGCGAGCATGTTGCCGGCCCGCAACCAACCATCACGACGCCGTATCACGGGCGACTCGGCGGCGGAGTAGTTATCTCTTCATCGGAGATGTCGACTTCGGGGAAGTCGGGTCCGCTATCCTTAACTAGCGGCGGCACGTCGTCAGGGCCATCCGCCTAGGACTCGTCATACATGACGCCCGCCGGCCCGTTATTAGCAGGCATGGTGAACAGCGGCGACTTATCCCGCTCTTGCATTTCCTGGGGACCGCCGTCCGACACGTCGACCAGGCCGGGCAACACGTCACCGGACCCCACGTCGGGCATATCCTCGTCCGAGTCACCCACCGACGCCTTGTTAGTAGCCATCGAGTCGATGCTGCCCGACCTCTCCCTAGGCTTGTGCATGTCGCGCAGAGCCGACCTCGTCAGCGCCGCCCCGTCGAGCCTGTCGGGTATCTCCTCTTCTTGCTTCGAGATCTCCTGTTTGAAGTACCGATTGTCCAACTTGACAAAGGTTTTGAGGGCGTCCGACAAGGGGTCCGCGGCGTCTTCCATGGCCTTGTCGGTGGCGAAGATGAGTATGGGGTTTTGCTTCGCGCAGCCTTGACTAAGAACCTGTTCAAAGGTCGTCATCTGACATCCGGGTTAGCACGGCTCAGTAACAACCGCAAGGGAAGAGGTACCTCGGCCAAAATCGCATGCTTTTCCTCGGGGATGCAGGACATCTTCCACCACTGCTCAATCGGCTCCGACTTGTCTTCCATCTCCATCAACGACGGCTCTCGTTTCCGCAAGAAGACCGTGTTCGTAGTCGGGATGACACCTCTGAGTGAGTACCTGTGATCGTTGCCAACAGCCGAGGCCCTGTGCGCGTCGCGAATAGCTTGCTTGAGGTTTTTGCACCTCTCTCTCTCGGGCAAAATGATATCTGGGTGACGCGTCTGGGTTAATACAGAATCCCATGGTTCCCACCCTGGTGCTGCCCAACTTACCTCTCATGATCTCTTCAACCTTGACCAGATCAGATTGCCAGCTCTTCACCCTGGCTTCCCAATGGGCAACGATTTCGGCCTCTTCGGGCAAAAGGTCGGGTTCCTCGTCATTCGGCAAGTATAGTTCATTGGTCCCATTAGCAAAATTCTCGCGGTCCGTGTGGTTTCTCCAGCGAGCGCTCTGCTTTATTCTCTTGATGCGATCCTTGTATCGGCCGATTGCAATCGGGGCAAGCACCCTACAATCGGCCTCCCTGTTCGTCGAGGGGTTGGTGCGCGTGGTCAGCTGCCGCTCCTGGTCGTAATTCTTTGCCAAGTCGGCCTCCACCGCAGCCAACTGCCTTTTTTCTTCCAGGGCCACCTGGTAGTTTTTGCTCATGTACCTGTCGAGAAACAGGTTCTCTTCAACCTCGACGTTCTCTGGCCAAGGGTCCTCGTTGGCAGAACGAAGAACGAGCACTTCCGGGGCTACTGTGATCATCGCAGTGCGGTCGGACGGCGGGTCGGTTTGTTGGGCAGACGGACTGCCGAAAAATATGAGATTCAACAGGTCTTCCAGACGGAGCCTGTCCGTCGTCGCCTCAATCTCTTGTCGTGTCGCCTGGCTGTTAAGAAGCACAACCGACGATGACTGGGCATAGGCCGGGTCCACGCCACCTTCCATGGTGACCACCTCTGCCCTGAACGGCGTCGAGGCCGGGTCATGATGCAGCTGTTCAAAGAAGTCACGCTCTCGGTCCCCGGTCCCCTGTGTGATAGTCTTGATGTCGCCTACAATGTCGGCTGTCCCATAGCTCCTGTCTGTCAAGTCTAGAAAGGCCACTAGACGGTGCAGCTCGTCTGCCAGCGGTGGGAAGAGCTCCGACGCCCACACACCATCCGGTTGAGCGTCCTTAGTTAACTGCAGGTAAGGTGGCAGAATGACGTCACCTTTCCACCAGTCTGGATTGTGGCCATATCCGTACTCGGGCTCGTCGCCGGTGCGGAGCAGAGCGTTGCGGGCCATGGGGATTGCATGCAAGGCCATGATGATGCCGCCGAGGCGGCTGCATTTCCAAAGCAGGTCGCGGTTCCTCAGGAACGCAGGTGTATCGTGGCTTCGTTTCCGGTCCAGCGGCGCCGGGTCGTCGTCCAACTGCTTGGATGGAACCATAGCCCACTCGGCTGGATTGTACTCTGCCCGGTTCGCTGGGCCAAAGTGCTTGTTGGTGTCCGTAACGCCAGACTGTTGCGGAGGGGGGGGCGGGGGGAGCGACTGGGGAATCGGTATTTGCCCGCTGGGATGCTGCCCTCCATTTGCCGACAGGGATTCGGCCATGGCTCGTTGTAATTGTTCGTCCTCCTCGGTCTTGCTGCTTGGGCCATCATTAAGGAACCCGCCCGCTTTCATATCCGCGACGTTGCTCATCGGAGATCTGTTGTTCACCCTCGAGGGGGGGCGCGAAGGCGCTGCCGAGCCCTCATAATATCCAGGAGATTCTCCGTATAGAACCCCGGACTCCTCGGGCACGCTGTGCACAGCAAAAGCTGCAGGACACGGTTAGTCGCGGGGAGGAGGGGTTTGGCGGGATTCGAGGGTACTGACAGGGAGGGTTGTTCGAAGAGGTGAACTCGCCCTCACGGTTGGCGCCCCACGACGTCTCGTCCCAGTACTTTCCGGTGTTTGTCTTGATGAACTAAAAGGTCGTCTGTCAGTCAACCCCGCGCTGGCTTCTCGAGCGTGGCGATCCGCTGGAGGGGGGGGGCAAACCTGATCTGGGTCATTAAAGTACTCGTTGATGACACCCTCTATGTTGTTTCTCCGCAACGCATTCATAACGGTCTCGCGATGTTCCTCCCCAAGGTCGGTGATAGCCAGCACCTGGGCGACATTTCCGTCGCTGACGTGGCTCATCTTGTAGTTGTGGCTCGTGTAGTCGTGGGTGTGCTTCTGACGATGAGACCGAATGGGAAGCGCCGATTCCTAGGCCATTTGCAAGAGGAAGCCCCAAGAAAGAGGACCCTGGGCGGAAGCTGGAGGTCGGATGGAAGTACTGCGGGTGACGGTCGAGGTGGGGGAATGGAGGAGAGCTAGTTCGGGGTATTGTGGGGGTTTGGGGTAGCGATGGAAGAATCCAAATGGTGCGCAGTCCGGGCGATTATCGATGGGTAGGTTCGGTCTGTCGGAGTTGTGTTGGGGGGTCCGCGACAAAGGAGACAATGTTGACAAAGGATGTTCTGCGTCAACACAGCTTGGGGGGAAGTGTTCCTGGAGCTCGGGCACCCTGTGATGCGGGGATGGAAGTGACGATAGGGATTTGGGCATCTGTATTTAACCCCTCAGCCCCTCAGCCCCCTCCAGCTCTTTTCAGGCCTCCCGGGGCCTGGGGCCTGGGCACTAACAAACCCACCCCCCTCCCATGCCCGCCACATGCAATGGACACTGGACTTCCCCATACACACTCTCCTCCATGATGACCACATGATTCAAGGATACGCCATGGTCGGTCACGCAGACATCAGGAGCAAGTGGTGCCGTACGTTCAGTCACAATAAAAACTCTCTTCGTCAGCCCAAATATATATCGAGATGAGATAGTCCACGCCTCGCCTTCCATATCCCAACGCCAAAGCCCAAGAGCCCAACACATCAACCATCGTTCCATCATCCATGCCACATTAAACCCCCTTTCCCAACGCCTCGCCAAACGTCCTTTTTGTCAGGAATCATAAAAGGGGCGATGCAAGGCACGGACCTGCAGTCGCTTAGGCAAAGTAAAAGGACTAGAATCCCCTAGATTAGCCTTAAAAGGGCAGGGAATCGTCCAGATAGATATACAGATAGACAAAGACACTACACTTATATTTAACCGAGGCGCGCCCTATCTAGGCCCAGTATTCAGTTTAAATCTTTATACGTAACTTAGAGTAATTTAGTTATATTACTAGATATACTACTTTAGCTATACCTTTTAATAGGTTATAAGCCCGGCTATACCGAACTCCTTCCGTAGTAATATAAGTAGTACTAGCCTCTTATAGTAGTAAAGCTATTCCTAATTATATTACTATATCTTTATCTAAAGCCGAGGGTAAGAAGGTCGTCTTTATAGACCTTTTTACTAAGTTTAACCTTATAGTACGTAAGCCGGCGGAGGTCCTTATAATCGAGGAGTAGGATCCCGCCTATAAGTATCCGGCGGTAGTAGTAGCTATATCGGAGTAGTAGGGGGACTAGGGGCGTATTACGTACGCCGCTAAGCCCTATTAACTAAGGTCTTATACCGAAATTAAGCGTTATAAGAGTTCGGCGGCAGCGTTTACACCGGCTACTTTTAAGGATATCCTTACCGGCGGGGGGAAGCGAATAGTCTCGCGTTCGCCTTCGCTAGCTCCGGCGCCGTTACGCGCTACTTCCGCTTAATAGTAATACTTCGCCGGTAGCTTTAACTATTAGAAGCGGGCCGCTTCGCTAGCTTTAGTTCCGGGCCTATCGCGCGCCCCGTTAGCTTAGCCGGCTCCGACTTAGCCGGCTCTAGCTCCGGTACCGGCGCCGTCGTACTTCTAGCCTTACTAGCCGTAGTTT